GATTCAGAGCATCGGTCTCGCTACGACCAGCAATGACTCCGGGACAAATGTCACAGCCTACCAAGGCGCAGGCGCTACGATGGCTGGCAGTAGACCGGCGCCATATGGAACATCTCCCGATGATGAAGGCCAAGTCCTTCTCTCGCACGCGCAGCCAAATCCGACATTGCAGTCGACTGGCGACCTGGCACCCCCACCATATGAATATGAGCATGATCGGCTGAGTAGCACGTCCTTGCTGGAACCTACACCATCTCATTCTCCGCAACCATACTCTCCTTATGAGCAACACCACAACATCCCTTACGAGGTACCGGACATGGACGGCCTCCATCTACACGCAGGCAACAATCTGCTCCAATCTCAGCAGGGAGCTCCCGGACATCATCCCTACGATCAGAATTACCTGCAAGAGCAACCACCGATACCCATGCCTGACCCGTACCAGCCTCCGCCCGCCCACTTTGACAATGAGCACAGCCGGCGATAGACGATCGTCAACAGTAATGACCCTGAGTTGCAGTTCACCTCGATCCCGGGAATGATGATGTTCCGCCCTTGGCTTCCCTTCCTTCATGCTACGAACTAGCTGGCTTGTTCTTCAGGCATCCCTTTTGCCTTCTTTTCTTTTTGTTGATATACCCTTCTATCGTATTCTATTCGTGGCAGTTTTCTTCTACTCTGCTCTGGTTTCGTTTCCCATTCTTTGCTTTTGCATGACGTAGGGATGCTTGGGGCCCGGGCCAGCAAGTCTCGCCTGCATTTTGCTATGATTCACTTTTCATGAAACGCGGGATTGCATTGGATGAATTTCTTTGTACAATAGCAGTTGATATATCAGTACGCTTGTCGGTGCGTATGCAATTTACTATACAAATAATCTTCTTCGCAGTGAGAGTGGTAGTCGAGCCCGAGCCACGTTGGCTCATATTTTGATTCACTATCTAGTCCTTTTCAATATAACATGCTTGCTTCTACGAGCGGAACGCCAAACGCCACTATGAAACCATAAAGATCGAGCACTCATAGAGAAAGAGCAGGTCATCACGTGCATTCAGACTGGCAAGACCACACTATTTAAGAGTCATCCCCTCTCGCGAAAGAAACTCATCTTCGAGCCGACTCTGCATAGCCAGCTGCGTCTTCCGCGACGCATTGCTCTGTCTGATGTTGTTCAAGATAGCGGTCTTGCGGCCTAGTTCGCGCATGCCCTTGATGCTATTACCCAGCTGTCCCAGCAAGGAGACCAGGAGGACGTCGTTTCGCTGGGCGAGGCTCTCCGCCGCGAAGGCGCTTCCTGGTTCCGGTGTGAGGAGAGATAGATGTGATAAGAGGGCGTTGATGTTCCGGAGGATCGGGTGCGAGAGGGGAGCTTTTGTGGTTCCGGTGGGTTGGTCTTCGGATGAGTGGGATACACTGGCGAGATAGGATTTGATCAAGGAGATTCGAGACTCTAGCGTGCGGATGGCGTTGAGGCGTGTGTTAAGACTGGCGATTACTACGAGGGTTGAGTTAGCTGATATGTTCCGGAGAATCAATGTATGATGATCTTACGTTCTTCCTCTTCGTGAGAGAGGACGACAGTGTCGGGCGACGGCTCGGCCTGGCCAGCCTCGGCTTTCTGGCTAGTCTGTGCGTCCTGTTGCGGGGGGGCACCCAGGCTGGCGCCAGACGGTTGAAGAGCTGTTGCCGTCCTTGCGCTTCTGGCAACCGTATCTATGCCAATCATCTCGGCTTCCCCCGTTTCTACAGAGAACGGCAGTTGGCGAAATCGAATGGACAGCGACTGCTCCTCGCCGTCTATTTGCATCGCCTTGCTGTTCTCCGTCGCATTTTCACCTTCATATACGCTTTCATAGATGGTCAGGGGAAGCTTGGCGCCGTTCCTTGATGCAGCTGGCACTTGGGAAGGGTGGAATGCGAGGAATATGGCAGACTCGTTGTAGCTCTGGAGGATCTGGCGGTGGATCGGCAAGTGGGATGCGTCCGGACCAGAAGGCAGGGCTGTCGACCACCAGCCTACGAGGTCGAGCGCAGGGGACTTGTGTACATCCTTCACTGGTGTAGGAAGAAGCCTAGTTAGCTAGAACTGATGGGATCTCGAGTACAAGCTCCGCTCTTACATTGCTTGACTCGTTCGACGAACCAGTCGTGAACAAGCTGCAGTTCGCCGTTGGCTCCTTCGGCCACGATGCATTCAAATGCGTGCTCTAATGTAATCACACGTCCGTTCTGCTGACCCAAAAGAGCCCCAATGATCGGTCCTTGTTGTGATCGCGCGGCATGACGGGTGATGTGATCTGAGATGGTGAGGAGGACCAGCGGGTGTAGTTGGATATGGAGACCTGAATCGGACGATTTCTGGGAGACTAGAGAGCCAGTAGTTTCCGCCATGTCTCCAAAGCTGCGCAAAGTAGAATATTTAGCAGGACAATTAGAAGGAGACTTTTGGTATCATCATCATTCAGAGGCGTTGTAACTGCCAACTGCCCAAGCTGATGGAGCTACGGTTTGTGTTTGCGCTGTTTGCAACGCCGTTGAGCTTCCCCGCTGTTGTCCGGACCATCTACAAAGTCCCACTTTATCTTTCGAACGTGTCCCAGCAGCTCGAGAAGCGGTTAGGATACTCTGTGACCTCGGACAAAATGGCTGATCCGTCTTCGTACGACGAAGTCAAAACTCACCTGCAGCATGTCCTGGATGACCCTTCGACTCCTTTGGACATTTCTCTCATCGACAAGCTAAAACTGGAGCTTACGGAGACTACAGATCGTAGGGTTCCTGGCACCCTTCTCACACTAATCTCACAGCTCCTTCCGGTCCTTCAGGAAGACCCAACGCCGATAACTACTCTTGGTATCAAAGCTACAACTTACTTCTCCTTCACGGATATCCGCTCCGTTGAGCCTCCTATTGACTTTATCGCTGGTTTCAAAGCACCGTCGCCACCTGTCAACCTGCTGGCTCTAGCTCTCCTGAGAAAGGCAGGAAGAGTTCCCAGTGATGCTGCGATAGTTGCTGGTGATCCTGAATTGGTAGCCTCGCTCGTCGAACTCTGGCTTACGACTACTTCGACAGCTGTCGCTCAGGCTGCTTTTGACGCTCTCTGGGCTCTACTGGAGATTGATTTAGCCAGTCCGCTGGAAAACGAAACACATACCCATGAGGCTGAGGATAGCACGGGAGGTCAAGGTCTATTCTGGAGACGAGTCTTCGCTGACAAGAATGTCTATGGGCGCCTCTTCTCCTTGTGCAGTCTCACGAACAATGAACCAGGCGCCCGCCCGCAACGGGAGAGGACTGTCTCCCAGGGAAGGCTTATGGGTTTCATCGTCAAAGCAGGCCACCTACGATGGGACTTAATCTCAAGTTCTCAGATCCCGGAGATTGAAGCTAAGTACGATGCCTCTAGCATTCTGCATTTTGCAGCTTGTCGGATGGTCGATAAGAACGATTTCTTGATGCACATGACCTTACTGAGCTTCTTCCGGGACCTGCTTGGCATTGAAGCTCCTAGTCTGAGAGCCAGAGTCTATGTGCAGTCTGCGTCGACTTTCTCCTCACCAGCCCTTGATTTTCTGATCGCTCATGGTCTGCATGACAGCGTACTGGAGTTATACCTTGATGAGACCAAACTGGATGCTGTGGATTTGCAATACACGCGTGGGCCCATCATGGCTTACATTGCACAGTATGCGGAGCTATATCCAAATCACTTGCTGCAGAATCCAAGAAGCCTGCTGGACAAGATCATCTCACGGATCTCCGAGTCGCTCGGTATATCGTCCTCTCAATGGGCGCATGGGCAAGCCCCCGCCGGTCAACTTGTCATCCTTTCCTCCTTACCCCGTGTGTTACTCGTCGAGGCCTCTAAGCAGGGCGTCAATCCTCTTTTGGCTGTTCCGACAAGTCCCCCCTGCCGAGAGGCATTGGACGCTCTGGCCAAAATACTCCACGGGCCACAGAAGCTCGACTTGAGCGATTCGATGGAGCTCAATACTTCTGGTCAGACGCCCACTGACTGGCATAAAGAAGCTGCAGCGGCCCGTGTCCTCTACTTCATGTATCTGAATGAGCACCCGAACTTCTGGACAGATATCGTAGCTGCAGCTGACATCTTGGCGATGAAGGATGTTTCTTTAGCAGCTATATCTTTCATGAAGGCTGTTATCACAGCGAACTGGCAAGTGCTGTCGGGAGAGGTCATATCACATGTACCTGATACTTCCCGGTATCAGCTGCCTTCAGAAGAGGCACTAGGCACGTTATCTCCAGCTACACAAGGACTGCTTCCTTCCTCTGGTGTTTGGGCTACCCTCACACCGCCAGCCTTGACCATACTGCTGCCTTATTTGTTCAAGCCACCGCGCTCCTATGCGGAGTTTGTTGCAGGTGGAGCAGGAGACACGCAGAACATTGTGTGGAAAGTTGCCACCGCGAAATACGAGGTCCTTGTTGCCTTGTATAACCACTTGAAGGAGACGGGCGGCCAAGTAACAGGTTTCGAGGATATTGTCCGTACGTTAAGTCAACGAGTCAGCGAAGGTCCCTGGGGACCTGTCGCGCAAAATATCGCTCGCGTTGAGACTGTAGGGTTGTGAGGACCTCTGCTTGGAAGCGCCGCGACTCTACGCAGATATCGAGCTCAAATGTGCAGATAGATTATGAACTAATGATGCTTTCTATAGTTTTCTGGCAAACGTAGCTAGAAATATTTACACAATGTTACGTGTTGACCTCACCATACACCACACAATCAGTAGGGTTCATATCCGATGCCCTGGTTTCCAAATAGAGAAGCCCATCAAAGGCGGTGAAGGCGGAGCTCCGCCGGAACTTTTTTCGTCCTTGCTGTCATCACCCACTCGAAGGTCACATTAGGTCTTCGGCGGGGCACCATATTTTTACTCGGACGGGTTCTTGGTAAATGGCGGACTGAGTGATTTGTGATTGCTCCAGAAGCTCTGGACCTCTATTCGTTCCGCCGTCCGTCCAGCAACATGTCTCGATTTGGAGCAAAGAAAGGCAGGAAGCTCCCCGGTGCAGAATTTACCTGGGAAGCCGATCCTGGCGGGGAAGCAGACACGGCGCCTACACCTCTTTTTCCTGTATGTTGAAGCCATCCTCCGAGAAATCTCTGGCAGAAGGGTAGAGTTACTAACGCCGTGCGTGCAGAGATATAACATTCCGCGCGCGAGACTTTTGAACCCTCGCGAACAAAAACAGGTCGATCTCTACCGTGCTCTGCGGGATCGCTTCCACGACGGGCCCTACTACTCCGTCCTCCAATCCACCTCAGTTACAGCAAGAAAAGATGAGGCTACTCGCGCCCACTTTGACCCTTTCCACGGAATGCCTACGTATTCGGGCAAGTACCAGAAGCAGAAGCGGGACCGGCCGGAGTTGAAAGGACGTCCGTACGGTAAGTGTTGTGCCACCGGGATATACGGGCTGGGGATAACCGCTGACTGGTGACTAATTGACCGGCTGCAGTCATGAAGTTCTTCCCTCGCCAGCTGTGGAAGACGATTCAGCCGAACTTCAACCCCTCGGTCGCAATGGATGGATACGTGCCACAGGGACCTCGCATCGGAGTGAAAAGGGGGTTTGAGGATGAGGAAGAGGAGCATGATGTCGAGGATACCAAGCGTAGAAAAGGCGCCGACGAGGATGAGGATGAGCGAGAAGAGCGGGAAGAAGAGGTGGACGTCTTGGACCCGGATGAGGATCAGGAGGAAGAGATCGTCGACAACGACTTTGAGGATGATGAAGATGAAATGGGCGGGGACTACAATGCGGAACAGTACTTTGATGCTGGCGATGATGAATACGGAGATGACGGATTCGCAGACGGCGGAGGCGGAGGTGGAGATGAAGACACCTACTGAGGCTGAGGAACAATTGTTGAGATACCCCATCTTGTTTAGTTTCTATATTCTAGGGAGCAGCGCATGGTCAAGCATATCGCAGGCGCTTGAAATTGTCATAAGATATACATGTAGCGTTGCCGGTCAGACTAAGGTTCTAAGACTAGGTCACCAGCGAAATAGCCCCGAGGCAGCCTGTCTATATGTAGCGAATATCACATTAACAAACACTACGTCTCTATTGTATGCATTGGAGCACCGATGCGGAGTACATTTGACGGAGTACATTGACAGGCATCTAAGAATTACTGCCTCAGGCCAAAAGGCCTCGAGATGATGTCATTCCGAACTTCGGCCTAAGGCCTCCCAACGGCCGAGATAGATAAGGTAGAGGGGCAGATATGGCGACAATCTGCCCCGCGGCAAGCAGCAATTGTATGATTTCTATCCCAGGATGAGCGAGAGCCAGGCCCAAGGGGCCCCTGCGAGGACAGCTCTCGTCCTATATGGCTCAGAAACCGGAAACGCGCAAGAAGTGGCCGAAGAGCTTGGAGCGCTGGCCGAGCGCCTACATTTCGTGACTCACGTCGCGGAAATGAACTCTGTAAAGGCTGTGCGTGTTTAGGCTATTCCCCTTGCGTATGGTGTACCTTGCTTACAATCCTACCGCAGGAGCTGCTCAAGTCGTTTACTTTTACGGTATTTGTTGTGTCGACGACGGGGCAGGGTGAAATTCCTGCGAATGCGAGGTCGTTTTGGAGATCCTTGCTTCTGAAGAAGCTGCCGCCTACTTTCTTGAGCGGGGTCAATTATGTTTCGTTTGGATTGGGTGATAGTTCATATCCCAAGTGAGTGGATTGGCTTTGTAGCTGTTGGTATGACACGGTGTCTGACTCGACCAGGTTTAATTGGGCTGCGCGGAAGTTGCACAAGCGTCTGCTCCAGCTCGGGGCTAATGAGATATATCCCCGTGGCGAGGCTAATGCGCAACATCCAGAAGGGTGAGTTTTAAATCTGCCTGGAATGCTCTACGAATGGCTGATTGAATTCTAGACTTGAAGGCACATTCATTCCTTGGATTACGGACTTTCGTAGCCACTTGCTCGACAAGTATCCGCTTCCTGAAGGGCTGTATCCGATACCGGATGATGTGCAACTGCCACCTAAATGGGTTCTGAGATTGCAAGAAGAAGCGACCGCAAGTGAAACGCCTACGGTGCAGACTTCAGTGAGCGAGCAGATAGCTGCGTTTGCCGAGTATCCGGGGCTGACTCGACTGGATCACGACGTGAGACCGATCCCGGATGCATTGACAGCGACCCTCGTTGAAAACAGACGGGTCACACCACGCACCCATTGGCAAGATGTGCGCCAGATATCGCTTACGGTCCCGGATGCAGTAACCTATGCTCCTGGGGACATGGTCTGCATCACGCCGAAGAATTTTGATGAAGATGTCCAAGCACTGATAGACATGATGGGCTGGGGCGAAATGGCTGACAAGTTGGTATCGCTGGCTCCTGGCGAAAAGCTCCAAGCTGCAGGGGAGCTGCATGCTCCCCCAATCCCTGGTCTTGAGAAGTATGCCAAGTTGACGCTGCGAGCGCTCCTGATGGACTACATCGATATCAGAGCGATTCCTCGGCGGTCGTTTTTCTCGGCAATTGCACACTACACGAGCAACGAGATGCACAAGGAGCGACTCCTCGAGTTTACGAATCCCGAGTACTTGGATGAGTTTTGGGACTACACCTCACGGCCAAGGCGAAGCATCCTGGAGGTCTTGCATGAGTTTCATTCGGTCAAGATCCCATGGCAGCATGTAACGTCAGTCTTCCCGGTCTTTCGAGGGAGGCAGTTCAGCATCGCCAGCGGAGGCGAATTGAAGAGGACATCCGATGGGGGAGCGAAATTTGAGCTATTGATCGCCATTGTAAAGTATCAAACGGTGATCAAGCGGATCCGAGAAGGAGTGTGTACAAGATACCTGTCCGTGCTGCGGCCAGGCAGTACCCTCCAAGTCCAACTGCAGCGCGGCGGACTCAGCTCATCCGTCAACCAACTGGTTGGTCCGACTGTCCTTATTGGACCTGGTACAGGCGTCGCGCCGTTGCGATCAATGCTCTGGGAGAAAGCTGCCTTCGTGAAAGCGTATCGAGAAGAGCATCCGGATGCGAGACCCCCGATCGGACCTACGATTCTTCTCTACGGCGGCCGCAATCGCGCTGCGGACTTTTTCTTCGAGAAGGAGTGGCAAGAACTGAGTGACCTGATCGACTTGCAGGTCTTCACTGCGTTTTCACGAGATCAGCGACAAAAGATTTATGTACAGGACATCATACGACGCAATTTTGGGCTGTTTTTCCGGCTGCTACACGACATGAATGGCTCGGTGTATATCTGTGGTTCATCGGGGAGAATGCCACAGGCAGTCAGGGAGGCGCTCATTGAAGCATTTGAGCACGGGGGGCAAGCTGATGGACCACAGCTCGCCCGACGCGGAGCGGAGGAGTATCTGATAAGTATGGAGAAGAGTGGGCGATATAAACAAGAGACTTGGTAGCTTGGTAGGCCTAGTGTCATGGGTTGTCACATGCTGCTGGTGATATGGTGGTCTTCTTTGAACATATACTCCCCCAAAATACATAGATTAAATGAAACGCATCGAGACAAGACACTGGTATCGGCAACATCAATATTATCATTATATTTTTTTGATCAACACCAGTAAATCAGTTTGAAGGCACAGTTACTCCGCAAGTAGCCATTTCTTCGACCCCAGCATTGCTATTGTCCAAGAGTCCGGCGTAGTAACCTCGGTTGGAGACGGAGGGGACTGCGGGCGATGATGCTGCGGTTGGGACTTCTCGGGCCGCATCGGCCATGGGGTTATTTTCTGCACTATTTCGCCCTTCTCCGCCTAAGTCACCTGCGCTCGATTGGCCCCAGACTGCCTTGGGACTGACTCTCTTCCGACTTGGATATCTGCTTTCCTTTCCCAATTACCAGGCTTTTTTTTTGTTTCACACCATTGAGTGGTAATTTCTTTCCAGATTCACAATGAGCGGATTGCGGATTCTAGTCCCCGTGAAGAGGGTGATCGACTACGCGGTGAGTTGCATTTTCCCTGGCATACTCCGTTCTCGGTGAAGAGTCAGAGCTCCGAGGCTACGGCCGGAGCTGAAACAATGACTCTATACTATAATCTCCGAGGATTATCTACGGGCAGGAGTAATTCTGAAATGATTCTAACAACATTCGAAAGATCAAACCCCGAATCAACAAGACCCAGACCGGCGTCGAAACCGCCGGGGTCAAGCACTCCCTCAACCCCTTCGATGAGCTCTCGATCGAGGAGGCCGTCCGCCTTCGTGAGCGCAAAGGCCCCCTGAAAGTCGAAAACATCCTCGCGCTCTCCGCTGGCGGAGCCAAGTGCGTCGATACGCTCCGGACAGCCATGGCTATGGGCGCGGACCGGGCCTTCCACGTCGAGGTTCCCGACAGCAACGACGGGGGCATGGAGCCGCTGACCATTGCGAAGATGCTGCAGGCAGTGGTGAAGCAGGAGAACATCAACCTGGTTCTTTTGGGGAAGCAGGCGATTGACGGAGACCAGGGGCAGACGGGCCAGATGCTGGCCGGTCTGCTGGGGTGGCCGCAGGCGACGCAGGCGAGCAAGGTCGAGATCAAGGACGAGAAGGGGACGGTGGAGGTGACTCACGAGGTGGATGGGGGTGTTGAGACGCTGCGTGCTCAGTTGCCCCTGGTTATTACGACGGATCTGCGGTTGAATGAGCCTCGGTATGCCAGTCTGCCGAACATCATGAAGGCGAAGAAGAAGCCTCTTGAGAAGAAGAAGCTCGAGGATTTCGGGGTTGAGGATAAGCGGCGGTTGAAGACGATCAAGGTTACTGGTAGGTTTTTCCTTCTTGTTGCAATGCACGGCGGATGCTGACTATGACAGAACCTCCTGCGCGTCAGGGCGGCGGTAAGGTGGAGGATGTTGACGGTCTGATCGGCAAGCTGAAGGAGCTCGGTGCGCTCTGATTTGTGATTTCAATCGTGTAAATGAGCCAGACGTATACTTGATCTGTATGCATATTCTTATGATTAGACTTACTACGGGACTAGCCAGAGCTAGATCTACTGACAGAATACCATGACTTGAAAAATTGCTCCCTACGGAGTTACACCTACCTTTCAATTACAATCGAAGTTGTAGTCCGGGACTGAGTTGCCACATGAATCCAGATGACAGATCTCATGTGTATATTTGATTGCCGGGTATCCCGTTCGCATGGATCATGCGAACATGTTAGCGTGCGATAGTGTTAAGCATAGCCGGCAGACGGCAACTCTCGTCCTCTCGTGGCCACAGACTCTATCACCTGCTCAGAATTTAAAGATATTGTAGTGTTGATGTGTATTACCAGAAAGTGACATATCACGATACAGGATTGGCGAGGCGAGTCTTGTGCCGAAGGAAATGAGTTTGTGAGGCATCCATCTCATGAACCACGATCCCACCAATACATTATTAGAGGTCTGTGTTCTCCATCCCAGATCGGGATTTGTGAATTTACTCCGTAATCTTTGCTTATTGCTAGTCATTTTGCGGCCTATGGCTTACAGTAGTTTGTTTCACTTTCGAGCCGGCAATCCGGGGAATAGGTTATGGATATGGAGTGGCTTTAGACATGGAAGTATGCTAAGCTAGGTAGATCCCTGAAGAGATGGATACATAATACAGGCTGTTTTGGGGCGATTGGCGAAAGTGGGCGATCTACGGGGTATCTAGTGTTTATCGATCTGTGGGCGAAGCTGATGTGTCATCTATCACATTCGCGATTCCAGACATTCCAGACTAGGATCATGGAAGGTTTTGATATCCTGGCTTGCAGGAGTAGGAGATTAATGACGGGATGAATAGATAGATTGATTCTTTATTATATCTAGTCGTTGGGATTGTCATTGAATGATGCTTTGCGTAGGCCGTATAGGTAGCTCTGGGCGTATCACTC